AAGTGCAGCGCGGCGGGGAGGCTGTACAGAGCCCGGGCCGCCTCTCCGGCTCCGGGCAGCGGGGACTTGGCGGCGCCGCTGCCCGGGAACAGCACCCCGGGGCCGGCCTGCTCGTCCATGGCCGCGCCGGGAGCCCGCAGCTGGTGTAGCCGCCTCGGAGCGCGCCTCGTCCGGGAGGGAAGAGCAGAGATGCGCCGCCGCCTCCGCTGCCTCCGCCGCGCCTGGACCCGGGATGTGACGTTCGCGAACGAGCCGGCTCTTCTGAACGGCTCCTGAATGAAGAACCGGATCTCTGTCCTTTTAAAGAATCGAATCTTTCGTCTTTCTAAATGTTTTTACACTGCGCCTGGTTTAGACCTGTTCTAGTCCTGGTTTAGTCCTGGTTTAGTCCTGATTTAGTCCTGGTTTAGTCCTGGTTTAGTTCTGGTTTAGTCCTGGTTTAGTCCTGGTTTAGTTCTGGTTTAGTCCTGGTTTAGTCCTGGTTTAGTCCTGGTTTAGTCCTGGAGGATCCTGGTTTAGTTCTGGTTTAGACCTGGTTTAGTCCTGGTTTAGACCTGGTTGGTTTAGTCCTGGTTTAGTCCTGGTTTAGTCCTGGTTTAGACCTGGTTTAGTCCTGGTTTAGTTCTGGTTTAGTCCTGGTTTAGTCCTGGTTTAGACCTGGTTTAGTCCTGGTTTTAGTCCTGGTTTAGTCCTGGTTTAGTCCTGGTTTAGTCCTGGTTTAGACCTGGTTTAGTCCTGGTTTAGTCCTGGATGATCCTGGTTTAGTCCTGGTTTAGTCCTGGATGATCCTGGTTTAGTCCTGGTTTAGTCCTGTTTAGTCCTGGTTTAGTCCTGGTTTAGTTCTGGTTTAGTCCTGGATGATCCTGGTTTAGTTCTGGTTTAGACCTGGTTTACCTGGTTTAGTCCTGGTTTAGTTCTGGTTTAGACCTGGTTTAGTCCTGGTTTAGTTCTGGTTTAGTCCTGGTTTAGATCTTTTGTCTTTGGCTCTTTGAAATAATCGGACCCAGAAGATTCGGATCCCTAAAAGAGCCGGATTCGCACACAGCAAAAGCGTTTCCGGTCTGAGCCTTCACAATAAAAGCTCCGGACCGGAAGTGTTGAAGGATTTTTTTTCAGAATTTTTATGTAAATAACGTGAATATTTAAATAACAAGAACTCACGTTAAACTTTAATTATTTGTCCCATAAATTACAGTGTTGCAACGGAATGTCAATATGTAAAATCAGAAAGTTCATACAAATAAAAATAAAAATAAACTATATGCACAGAAAATACAGGACGGGAGGGCATCTGACACACACGGAAACATTATTATTATTATTATTATTATTATTATTATTATTATTATCTATTTTTTTTAAATATACTATTATGTCTATTTCTTTTTGTTTGCTGAAAAATATGAAAATAAATGGCAAAAAAAAAAAAGACGAAAGGAAAAATGTTATTATATTATTTATAATATTATTACTTACGGGTTTTTGTTTTGTTTTTTTGGTTGCTTTTTTTTTTCTGAAAAATATAAATAAAAAAGGATGAATGGGATATGGGAACAGAGATACTGGATTATTAGTTATTATTATTTATTTTATTATTGTTATTATATTTTTTAATATACATATATATTATTTCTTTTATTATTACGTCTTTTTTTTTTTTATATATATAAATTTAAAAAATATAAATGGGAGGGCATCTGACAAACAGAGATACTGCATTTTTATTTATTTTATTATTGTTATTATATATTTTATATATAATTACTTTTTCTTCGTTTTTTTCTGAAAAAATATAAAAATTAAACTGCATAAAAATAAAACATTTATATCAATAAAACCGTAAATCTGACTCCTTTCATGACCCACGTGACCCTGCGCCCCCCCCCCCCCCCCCCCCGGGTCACGCCCCTTAGGCCGTGCACGTGCACGTGCCCGTCACCTGACGCTGCCGTATTTAACGGGGGCCGGGCGCGCGCGCTGCACACCGGAGCACGAGCACGAGACATGCCTCCGTTTGAGCGCGCGCAGGTCCACGGGTCCACGAGGGCCTTCAAACAGCGCAAGAGCTTCGGTAAGACCCGGACCAGGACCAGACCCGGACCAGGACCAGACCCGGACCAGACCCGGACCTCGACCCTCGTGACCCTCTGACGGTAACACGCGCTCTTCTGTTGCAGCCACGAGGAAACAGGAGGCGGCGGGAATCAGGACCAAGTTCCCCAACAAGATCCCGGTGAGTCCAGAGTGAGTCCAGAGTCCAGACCTCAGACCTGGACTGAGGAGGGTCTGGAGTCTGGACCAGGACTGGTTTCTGTTGTGGACTAAAGTGAAGAAGAAAAGATCTGGACACAAACTTTTTTTTTTAACTTCTCATGAAAACCTGGTCTGGTCCTGGTCTGGTCCTAGTTTAGTCCTAGTTTAGTCCTAGGTTAGTCCTAGTTTAGTCCTAGTTTAGTTCTTGTTTAGTCCTGGTCTAGTCCTGGTCTAGTCCTGGTTTACTTCTTGTTTAGTTCTGGTCTGGTCCTGGTCTAGTCCTGGTCCTGGTCTAGTCCTGGTCCTGGTCTAGTCCTGGTCCTGGTCCTGGTCCTGGTCTAGTCCTGGTCTTTTTCTTCAGGTGATCATCGAACGTTATGAAAAAGAAAAGTTTCTTCCTCCTTTGGACAAAACCAAGTTCCTGGTTCCTCATGAACTCACCATGACCCAGTTTGTGACCATCATCAGGTAAGAACTGAGCCAGATACACACACCCCCCCCCAGTGTGTCAGTGTGTGTGTGTGTCAGGTCCCCCTGTGTGTGTCAGGTCCGCCTGTGTGTGTCGGGTCCCCCTGTGTGTGTCATGTGTGTCAGTGTGTGTGTCAGGTGTCCTCTTCGTGTGTGTCAGGTCCCCTGTGTGTGTCAGGTGCCCTTGTGTGTCCCCGTGTGTGTGTGTGTGTGTCAGTGTCCCCTTCGTGTGTGTGTGTCAGTGTCCCCTCGTGTCGTGTGTGTGTGTGTCAGGTGCCCTCTTCGTGTGTGTGTGTGTGTCAGGTGTGTGTCCAGGTGCCTCTTCGTGTGTGTCAGTGTGTGTGTGTCAGGTGCCCTCTTCGTGTGTGTGAGGTCCCCTGTGTGTGTCAGGTGCCCTCTTCGTGTGTGTGTAATAATTTTCATTGCAAATTTAAAATAATCCCATAATTAAAGTTCATGAGGTTTTGGTCGATTCGTTCGTGACGATTTTAAATATTTTAAAGTTTGTTTGTTTTTCACAGGACGAGGTTGAATTTTCTCCAAGTTTGTTTCAAAAGTAAAAAACTGTTTGTTTCAGCTGAAGTGTGATTCTGTGAAATGTGTTTGACACAAAAATATATTTTTCACATCAGAAGTTCAACATTTTAAACACTTTAATATTTTAACATTTAAGTTTAGTTTAATTTTGACGTGTTTTACTCTTTATGAAAAAAAAAAAAAGTCCCCAAAGTTTAGAGTTTGAGTTGTATTTGGGAAATTGTAAAATTTTTCAGAACTGTAAGAATTTTTTTTTTAAATGTTTGAGTGTTTTTTAGATCTGAGTTTGTGTTTTCATCTTAAATAATAGAAGTAATTTTAAATTTAATTAAATTTGAACAGTTTGTCTGTTTCACTGACACTTTTAAGACGTCCTGGACTTTGATGAAAAACATTTTTTCTGTATTTAAAGTTTTTTTTTTAGGGGCTTTTACAAAATGATAAAATATAAATGTAAATTTAGCAGAAAATCTCCACATTTTGTTCATCTTTATTATATTTACATTTTTTGAGTGTTTGAAAAGTGAAACTGTCACTGGGGTCTGGGTCCGGGTCTGGGTCTGGGGTCTGAGTCCGGGGTCTGGGTCTGGGGTCTGGGTCTGGGGTCTGGGTCCGGGTCTGGGTCCGGGTCCGGGTCCGGGTCTGGGTCCAGGGTGTTTTTGACCTGGAGCAGTTTTAAACACAACAGTGACTCTGGAGGTTTGACACGAGTTTGACTCGTCTGGTCTTAAAGTTCAAATCTGGATTTGGGACTAAAGACTGAGTCCAGGATCATGTGGATCAGGGTCTAAGGTCAAAGGTCAGAGTGAGGATCCTGACAGCGGCAGGTCCAGACAAACAGGCCAAACTTTTATATAAACTCAACTCTCTGAACTCTGGTCTTTGGTCTCTGGTCTGGTCTCTGGTCTGGTCTGTGGTCTGGTCTTTGGTCTGGTCTTTGGTCTGGTCTCTGGTCTCTGGTCTGGTCTCTGGTCTGGTCTGGTCTCTGGTCTGGTCTCTGGTCTGGTCTCTGGTCTGGTCTCTGGTCTGGTCTGGTCTCTGGTCTTTGGTCTGGTCTCTGGTCTTTGGTCTTTGGTTTTATTTGAGTCTCGAGTTTTTCTGTTTTGTCACAAGACTCAAACATGACTCAGCAACAGAAGGTTCGACCAATCACACGACTCCTGTGTGTCAGGGGCTCTTCCTCTGTGTGTGTCAGGGGCCCTCTGTGTGTGTGTTTGTGTGTGTGTCAGGGTCTGTCTCGTGTGTCAGATTTCTGGGATTCTGAATTTAAATCTTTTTGTTTTTTTTACACAAATGTTTTCAGTAAATTTCAGATGATTGTGACAGAGTTTTGTTCAGTCACATGATCAGAGTCATTCCTCTTTACTGAGACAAGAATCTGTCCTGGTCTGGTCCTCTGTCTGTGGACCGGGGTCTTGTCTGGACCGGGGTCTGGACCGGGGTCTGGACCGGGGTCTGGACCGGGGTCTGGACCGGGGTCTGGACCGGGGTTAGACCTGGTTTGATCCTGGTTCTGGTCTTCATGCTGACAGAATCGTGTTGAGGAGAAACAGAAACTCGAGCCTCAGTCAGAGGACAAGATGAATATCTGCTCCATGTTTGACCCCTGAGGTTCAAGTTTGGACTGAATGTCACTGTCACTTCTCCGCGGGCAGATGTTTGTGTCTCCGCGGGCAGATGTCTGGCAGATGTTGTGTCTCCGCGGGCAGATGTTTGTGTCTCCGCGGGCAGATGTTTGTGTCTCCGCGGGCAGATGTTTGTGTCTCCGCGGGCAGATGTTTCTCCAACCGGCTGGAAAACAGTCTTTGGATCTAGTCTTGGTTCTAGTCCCAGTCTCTCTGGTCCTGGTCCAGTCCTCATGTTTGTCTTGACTGTCCCGGTCCAGGTCCAGGTCCAGTCCTCATGTTGTTCTTGTCTTGTAGGAACCGTATGGCTTTACTTCCGTCTCAGGCATTTTACCTCCTGATCAACAGCAGCGGCCTCCCCAGTATGTCCCTGACCATGGCCCAGGTAACACACACACACACACACACACACACCAACACGCGCACCAACACACACGCGCACCAACACGCGCACCACAACACCAACACACACACACACACACACACACACACACACACACACACACCACACACACACACACACACACCAACACACACACCACACACACACCCCCAACCGTGTGTGTGTGGGTTTATTTCTGTGTCTGTGTGTGTTTTGTGTTTGTGTGTTAGTGTGTGTTTTTGTGTGATTTATGTGTGTATGTGTGTGTGTCCTTAGTTGTTGTGTGCACACACACACCAACACACCCACACACCACACACACACACACACACACACACACACACACAACACAACACACACACAACACAACACACCACAACACACCAACACACACACACACACACACACACACACACACACACACACACACAACACAACACACACACACACACACGCACAACACACACAACACACACACACACACACACACACACACACACACACACACACACCAACACACACCACACACCACACACACACAACACACACACCACACACCAACACACACCACACACACACACACACACCACACACACACACACACACACACACACACACACACACACCAACACACACACACACACACCAACACACACACACACACACCAACACACACACACACACACACACACACACACACACACACACACAACACACACACACACACACACACACCAACACACACACACACACACACCACACGCACCAAACACAGCACACACACACACACACACACACACACACACACACACACACACACACACACACACACACACACACACACACACACACACACACACACACACACCACACAACACACACACACACACACACACACACACACACACACACACACACACACACACACACACACACACACACACCAACACACACACACAACACACACACACACACCAACACACACACACACACACACACACACACACACACACACACACACACACACACACACACACACACACACCAACACACACACACCAACACACACACACCACACACACACACACCAACACACCACACAACACACACACCAACACACACACACACACACACACACACACCAACACACACACCAACACACACACCCCCAACCGTGTGTGTGTGGGTTTATTTCTGTGTGTGTGTGTGTTTTGTGTTTGTGTGTTAGTGTGTGTTTTGTGTGTATTTATGTGTGTATGTGTGTGTGTTGTTTATGTTGTGTGTTTGTATTTGTGTGTTTTGTTTTTATTTGTGTGTTTGTGTTTATTTGTGCGTTGTTTGTGTGTTTCAGGTTTATAAAGAGCATCAGGACGAGGACGGCTTCATTTACATGACCTACGCCTCACAGGAAATGTTTGGATCCTGACCCCGACCTGTGACCCCGACCTGCGACCTGTGACCTGTGACCCCGACGCTTTTACTGTTTAAAGTGTGTAGATAAAAACATTGTGTGTAAATATTGTGATGTTTCATGTTTTAATGTGAACTAATAAATGTGGATTTAAAACACTTTTGGTCTGAGGATTGTTTCTGTTTGTTTGTTTCTGTGTCTGTTGCACTTCACACAAAACCACCTCATGAAAATCCACAAACATGTTCAGATTTAATAAAGGTTCAGGATGAAGATGAGCAGGTTCAAATATTAAACTTTTAATTTTTCAGCTCCTCCAAGTCCGAGGTCGTGGTTCTGGACCAGAAAAAAGCATCTTTTAAATTTTTTTACTTTGTTCCTGTCTGACTTCTCATGTGTCAGGCTTAATTACTAAAATAAAAGATTTAGAACAATCTTATAAAAAAAAAAAAAAAAAAAAAAAAAAAAATGGAATACAATTTAGAATAATCCTGGATTTTTTATCAACCTGGAAAAAAGAAAAAAATTAGAACAACAGTTTAAAAAGTAAAATAAATAAGAGTTGTTCAGGCGCGCGGTGGACGCCTAAACTCCGGCTCCTCGGGGTCCTTCAGCTGTCAGCCGTGTTTCATTACGCATGCGCAGGTGGCCAGCGCTCTGACCGCTGCACGAGACCCGACACACGCACGAGGACACGCGCACGGGGACACGCACGCAGGGACACGCGCACGGGGACACGCGCACGAGGACACGCGCACGAGGACACGCGCACGAGGACACGCGCACGAGGACACACCGGGACAGAGACCGGGACCAGGACCAGACTCACCAGGACCAGACTCCGGGTCCAGGTGAGACTCTGTCCTCGTGTTTGTTCTTCTGTAAAGACCTGGTTTAGTCCTGGTTTAGACCTGGTTTAGTCCTGGTTTAGTCCTGGTTTAGACCTGGTTTAGTCCTGGTTTAGTCCTGGTTTAGACCTGGTTTAGACCTGGTTTAGTCCTGGTTTAGTCCTGGTTTAGACCTGGTTTAAGACCTGGTTTAGACCTGGTTTAGACCTGGTTTAGACCTGGTTTAGTCCTGGTTTAGACCTGGTTTAGACCTGGTTTAGACCTGGTTTAGTCCTGGTTTAGTCCTGGTTTAGACCTGGTTTAGTCCTGGTTTAGTCCTGGTTTAGACCTGGTTTAGTCCTGGTTTAGTCCTGGTTTAGTCCTGGTTTAGCCCAAAATGTGAAAACAGTTAAATCCCTCTGTGTAATCTATTTATTTCAACAAAGTAACTGTAATCCAATTACCACTCACTGAAAAAGTAACTGTAACTGAATACAGTTACTCATCATTTGTACTCTGATTACTCGGTACATGTAATCTATTACTCCACAACAGTGGACATGTGTCTTTGTGTTTGGAGACATGATGGACACGACACTGAACATGGACCAGAGAAAGAAGAAGAAGACCAATTTCAAACGCTGTTGAATTTCTCACTTAGAGTTTGAATTATTTTTATTATGAATTTTTGTTTTCTGAAATTTTACGTTTACATTTTCAGTGTATAAAATTTTATATATAAACAAAAAAATCACCTTTTAAATATTCAGCACAAATATTTTCAAGCCTCAAATTCGACCGTCAAAATTCAGAGTGTAAAATTCGCAGTGAAGAAAATTCACAGTAAAAGGCAGAAGCAATCGATCCAAAGTGATCCGATCTGACTTAGTAAGAAACAGGAGATGTTGCAGTGACGCGATCTGATTGGTCAAAATTTGCCTCATCCAAACCTCATCTCTTTGATTGGTTAAGTGTAAACCCCGCCCACAGATGAGAACAGCCAATAGGAAACAGCCTCTGTCCTCCTCGCTCACATGATCGATTGCTTCTGCCTCGGCGTTTCGGATCTTTGCTGCGAGATTTTTCACTGCGAATTTTACGTTCTGAATTTCAACTGGTGAATTTGAGGATTTGAAAATATCTGTGGTGATTTTTTTTTTTTTTTATTTTGAATTGAAAGTAAACTTCAACTTTCAGCCGCTAAAATTCAGACCAAAAATAATTCAAACATCTTTTGTCAGAGTTAAAAAATTCAAAGTGAGAAATTCAGTCGTATTTAAAATTCAAAATCTGATGGAACAAATGATCTTCCATACAATAAGACCATCTCCAAGCAGCGTGATGTTCCTGTGATTACACTTCCACATGTTCTTCAGAAGTTTAAGCTCCACAGGACTGAAGACAACCTCCCTGGACGCGACCGCAAGAGGAAAACTGACGACAAACTGAAGAGACGGATCATACGAACGGAACCAAAGACCCAGAACAACCTCCAAACAAATGAAACGTGAAGTTGAAGGACGAGGAACATCAGGTCAGATCACACTGTCCATCAGTGTTTGAGCCAAAGTGACTTCATGTGAGGACACCACTGCTGAGAGAACATCATCAGAAAGTGACACTGGAGTTTGTCACGATGCAGATGGACCAACCACAAAACTTCTGGGAGAATGTTCTTTGGACAGATGAGACAAAACTGGAGCTCTTTGGCAAGACACATCAGCTCTATGTTCACAGACGCAAACATGAAGCAGACCAAGAAAAGAACACTGTCTCTACTGTGAAGCACGGAGGAGGTTTGGTTTGGTTCTGGGGCTGTTCTGCTGCTCAGGCTCAGGACGTCTTGAATCTGTGAAAAATACAACTGTTCTTCTGTTCTGGAGCGTTCTTCTGTTCTGATCTGTTCTGTTCTGGAACGTTCTTCTCATCTGGACTGTTCTTCTGTTCTGGAAGGTTCTTCTGTTCTGGAGAAGGAACCTTCAAACCTGAGACTAGAACAGTTTGTTCTCATGGATTAAAATCCCAGTTGTCCAGAGCAGAAGTTTCACTGACAGTTACAGAAATCGTTTGTTTACAGAGTTTGTCTCAAAAGTTTTTGTATATAAATATTTAAAGTTTAGGATCCATCGTTTTTGTCCAGAACAGTTTCATTATTTTGTTTTTTCTAATATTTCTGTTGAACCACACGTGAAAACAATGTTGGAGGAGCTCAGTGTCTCTGATCTGAAGGTTTGAGGTACAAATCTAAAACTTGATCAGTAAATTTGTGCTGTTGTAAAATCTGTTTTTTTTCCCCGCTAAGAAAACTGGCCAAAATTAAACCCATTTTGTTTTGACGCAGCAGCACTTTGAAACTGACACACACGAGTATTTGTGACGACTACTCTGGATTATTGTGACGCACTTTATGTTGGTGTGAGACAAAATGCACTTTGGGTCCAAAACTCAGCGGCTCGACTTTTAACTAGAACCCGGACACACGAGAGCTCCTCACCTTCATCCTCGCTCCGCTGGACTCCCAGTGTGTTTTAGAGTTGATTTTAAAATTATTTTATTTACTTTAAGTGTTTGCGTGGCCCAGCGCCTCCTGCCCCACTGACATGATCCACACTTTCACCTCCTCTCGCACTCTCAGAACTGCAGAACAACTCCAGCTCGCCGTCCCAAAAACTACACGTGAGCTTTGTGGGGACCGTGTGTTTTCTGTTTCTGCCGTTAGAGATCAGAGGCCGAGTCTGGACTCCTAAAAACGCACTTTTTCTCACTGACTTTTAACAAGTGACATGTACATTTCCTGTTGAGTGTCTCACTGTTTTCTATGTTTTTAGTTGTGTTGTGTTTGTGTTGTGTATTTTCTTCCACTGCGATTGTCCTCGTCTGTTGTGTGTTTGTGTTCAGCACTTTGGCCAAATGTAAAGTTTTTAAAGTGCTTCATAAATAAAGTTCACCACATTAACCACCTGTGTGTCTGTGCTCCCCCAGGACCAAACACACACACACACACACACAGACGGCGGCGGCGGTGAGGCGGTGTGAGATGATGGTGTCCGTGGGCAGGAGCGGTGTTCTCGCGGTCGGTCTGTGTGGGGCGCTCTTCCTCGGATACTGTATTTACTTCGACCGAAAACGACGGAGCGACCCGACCTACAAGAGCCGACTGAGGGAACGTGAGTCCTGATCTAGACCTGGTTTAGTCCTGGTTTAGACCTGATTTAGTCCTGGATCAGTCCTGGTTTAGACCTGGTTTAGTCCTGGTTTAGTCCTGGTTTAGTTCTGGTTCAGAGGAGATGTTCTTGTGTTTGTGTTCAGGGAGGAAGCAGCAGAAGATGGACCAGGAGAGAGCTGGACTGCCCAAGGTGAGACTTGTTCTGCCCCTGGTCTGGTCTCTGGACTTGGTCTGGACTTGGTTTGGACTTGGTCTGGACTTGGTCTTACAGTCTTGTGTTGTGTTCAGCTGCCGGACCTGAAGGACCCAGAGGCCGTGCAGAAGTTCTTCCTGGAGGAAATCCAACTCGGACCTGACCTCACCTGTCCTCAACTGCTGCACCTGCCTCACCTGTCCTCACCTGTCACCTGCTCACCTGCTCACCTGTCCTCACCTGTCCTCACCTGCACCTCCTCCTCACCTGCCCTCCTCACCTGTCACCTCCTCACCTGTCCTCACCTGTCCTCACCTGTCCTCACCTGTCCTCACCTGTCCTCACCTGTCTTCCTGGTTGTTGTTCAGGGGAGGTGGAGTCTTGTGTGGATCATTTGTCCAGTGCCGTCTCCGTCTGTGCTCAGCCTCAGCAGCTGCTCCAGGTTTTACAACAGACGCTGCCCCCACCTGTTCTCCAGCTGCTCCTCGCCCGCCTGCCCACCCTCCGACAGGTGAGACCCTGCCCACCCTCCGACAGGTGAGACCCTTCCCACCCTCAGACAGGTGAGACCCTGCCCACCCTCAGACAGTGAGACCACCCTGCCCACCCTCCGACAGGTGAGACCCTGCCCACCCTCCGACAGGTGAGACCCTTCCCACCCTCAGACAGGTGAGACCACAGCCTGCCCATGCTCCGACAGGTGAGACCCTGCCCATGCTCCGACAGGTGAGACCCTGCCCATGCTCCGACAGGTGAACCTCCCTCCGACAGGTGAGACCCTGCCCACCCTCCGACAGGTGAGACCCTGCCCACCCTCCGACAGGTGAGACCACAGCCTGCCCACGCTCCGACAGGTCAGACGCGACTCGACTCAAAAACACAACAGCACAGAAGAAACATCCACCCAGATCCAGACTGCTGCACCAAACCAGGACTGAACCAGGACTGAACCAGGACTGAACCAGGACTGAACCAGGTCTAAACCAGGTCTAAAACAGAACTACAAGAACTGAGTCAGGACTGACTGTGGGGACGGGCTCCTGTAGACCGTCGGGTGACGCAGGTGAAAAGGACCGACGCAGAACTCCTCAAACTCTGCAGACCCTGCTCCACGGACTCAGGGTTCAGTCCTGGTTCAGTCCTGCTTTAGTCCTGGTGTAGTCCTGGTTTAGTCCTGGTTTAGTCCTGCTTTAGTCCTGGTTCAGTCTTGGTTCAGTCCTGCTTTAGTCCTGCTTTAGTCCTGCTTTAGTCCTGGTTTTCTTTAGTGCTTTAGTCCTGGTTTAGTCCTGCTTTAGTCCTGCTTTAGTCCTGCTTTAGTCCTGGTTTAGTCCTGCTTTAGTCCTGCTTTAGTCCTGCTTTAGTCCTGCTTTAGTCCTGGTTTAGTGCTGGTTTAGTTTAGTGCTGGTTTAGTGCTGGTTTAGTCCTGGTTTAGTCCTGCTTTAGTCCTGACTCGCCCGCATACCTGCCTGTAAAATTCCAGAACATTAAAACCTGCTCGTTTCAGTGATTATTTGTGGGTCCCTGACTCGGTGCAGGACCTGGTGCAGGACCTGGTGCAGGACTAGAAGGTTCCACATGTACTCACCTGTACAGTTTATTCTGTGTGATATTTAACATGTATAATAGAGTCAGGTCCTCACTTTGACTCTGTGAGAGTTTCACACAAACGTCCTGCTGTTTTTTTCACCTGGATCTTTTCTTCTGTGGACGTGGTGGAAGTGTCGAGGGTCAGAGGAGCAGAGGAGCAGAGGGTCAGAGGAGCAGAGGGTCAGAGGGTCAGAGGAGCAGAGGAGCAGAGGGTCAGAGGAGCAGAGGAGCAGAGGGTCAGAGGAGCAGAGGGTCAGAGGAGCAGAGGGTCAGAGGAGCAGAGGGTCAGAGGAGCAGAGGAGCAGAGGAGCAGAGGGCAGAGGGTCAGAGGGGTCAGAGAGGAGCAGAGGGTCAGAGGAGCAGAGGGTCAGAGGAGCAGAGGAGCAGAGGGTCAGAGGAGCAGAGGGTCAGAGGAGCAGAGGAGCAGAGGGGCAGAGGAGCAGAGGGTCAGAGGAGCAGAGAGGAGCAGAGGGTCAGAGGAGCAGAGGGTCAGAGCAGAGGAGCAGAGGGTCAGAGGAGCAGAGGGTCAGAGGAGGAGGGCAGAGGAGCAGAGGGCAGAGGAGCAGAGGAGCAGAGGGTCAGAGGAGCAGAGGGTCAGAGGAGCAGAGGGCAGCAGAGGTCAGAGAGCAGAGGGTCAGAGAGCAGAGAGGGTCAGAGGGCAGAGGGTCAGAGGGAGCAGAGGGTCAGAGGAGCAGAGGAGCAGAGGGTCAGAGGAGCAGAGGGTCAGAGCAGAGGGTCAGAGGGTCAGAGGAGCAGAGGAGCAGAGGAGCAGAGGGTCAGAGGAGCAGAGGGTCAGAGGGTCAGCAGTCAGAGGAGCAGAGGGTCAGAGGAGCAGAGGGTCAGAGGAGCAGAGGAGCAGAGGGTCAGAGGAGCAGAGGGTCAGAGGGCAGAGGAGCAGAGAGGAGCAGAGGAGCAGAGGGTCAGAGGAGCAGAGGAGCAGAGGGTCAGAGGAGCAGAGGAGCAGAGGGTCAGAGGAGCAGAGGTCAGAGGAGCAGAGGGTCAGAGGAGCAGAGGGTCAGAGGAGTCAGAGGAGCAGAGGAGCAGAGGGTCAGAGCAGAGGGCAGGGAGAGAGGGTCAGAGGAGCAGAGGGTCAGAGGAGCAGAGGGCAGAGGGTCAGAGGAGCAGAGGGTCAGAGGAGCAGAGGGTCAGAGGAGCAGAGGGTCAGAGGAGCAGAGGGTCAGAGGAGCAGAGGGTCAGAGCGCCTCCTGCTGGACTCACACTTACATCATGTTTGTTTTTGTGTTTACAGAGAATCTCCGGAGCTCAGAGTCTGACTGAAGAGGACATCGAGTGAGCGCCTCCTGGAGGAGAGGACGCCCCCTGGAGGAGAGGACGCCCCTGGAGGAGAGGACGCCCCCTGGAGGAGAGGACGCCCCCTGGAGGACACCTGTGTTTCCTGTGCGACATTAAAGCTGCACTGTGGAACCTTCCCAGCGCCTGTAAAACCCCCAGACATGTGTCCTGCCCTGACGCTAAAGCCACAGTGTGGAACTTTGAATAGAAAAAACAAAAGCATGTTTCCTTCCTGATGTTTGTGTTTATTTCCCCTGACGACGAGCGGCTCGCCTCTCCACACACCTGACTCTCACTGACTCTCTCTGGTTGTGGCTGGAATGTTCCGCAGTTCGTCTCCGTGGAGAATGTTCTGAAGTGTGGCTTCAGCTTTCTGTTTCCGTGGAATCCTGCGGGTGACGGGTCTGCTCCAGAAAGTTACGCACTGTGTCTTTAAATGTCCCATGATCCTCTGCTCTGTTCTAATGTCGTTTATACTGAGACTACATGTCCCATGATCCTCTGCTCTGTTCTGGTGTAGTTTACACTGAGACTACATGTCCCATGATCCTCTGCTCTGATCTAATGTCGTTTACACTGAGACTACATGTCCCATGATCCTCTGCTCTGTTCTGGTGTAGTTTATACTGAGACTACATGTCCCATGATCCTCTGCTCTGTTCTGGTTTCCTCGTCACTCAGAGCTGGATTTGTGTTTTGTTTCATTCTCATGTTCGACTCAGACTCTGCACATTTACACTTCTGAGTTCTTCTCTCACACTGAAAACACTCTGTTCCACCTCGTGATGTCATCGTGTGGCGATACAGGAAGTGCTCCACTGTGTTTTTAAACTCCACACACCTTCACTAGAATCACCTGGATCATTTCAGTCGTGGTCCGAGTCCGGTCTCAGGTCCGGACTCAGATTTGGTCTGGGGTCTGGACTCTGAGGGAGAAAAACTGTCGGTGTCCTTGAGCAAGACACTTCCCCCACACTGCCTGGAGTGAAAGTGAAGTGTGTGAGGCTGGAGTTTAACCAGAGTCTGGAGAAGAAGAAGAATCATCATGTGTGAAGAGTGTGAGTCTGCAGGAGTTGTGTGACTAATCGATGAATTAGTGAATCTGGTGATATCGTATCGTCAAAGTTCTCACAATAACATCGTGGATCATCACAAAATATTGAATCACAAAAGTCTGTTTAAATGAAGAGTTCTGGAGCAGCAACAGCTAAAAAACACAGAGAACTACACTTCCCATGATCCTTTGCTCCATTTTAGT